TTGATAATTTCTGAATCATAATTGGATTGGGTATGAAGCTAATTCAATATTCAAATGTAATATATATCATAAATAGGCAGATCTAGATCAAATTTGCTACCAAGGTTTATCCACTGGTCATCATAATCGAACGAACTGTTTTATTTCAGGGAAGAATACCAACTGAATCATCTCATAGGGAACTTGTCAAAAACGTTTGTCGCGCTTATTGATGGAATTGTGATGGGTGGAGTGAGTCTCTTTTCTTCCCTTGTTCAACAGCTTCACCCATGAGTTAAAGAATGAAGTCTTCTGTCGTTATTCAACCCCTTTTGTTGAATTAGACCCGCATTCGTCTTACAATCGAAATCGCTGCGGCGTTTTGAATGCATATATGCTTCCCCTCCCCTAAGGGCTTATGTTCGTTCATTTCATGTTCTTGCAGGGATGTGGCCTTTCCGTGAACGGTCGATATAGAGTTGCAACTGAGCGCACTATGTTGGCAATGCCTGAGACTGCACTGGGACTTTTTCCTGATGTGGGAGGCTCCTATTTTCTTTCGCGGCTTAAGGTATGATGTAAAATTCGAAAGACAATTCATCTGGTGGAAATCAATACTTTCTATTCTGGCACCTTCAATTTTTACAGAACAACCTCGGGTTTTATTTGGCTTTGACTGGATATCGACTTCATGGCGCCGATGCTTTGCATGCTGGTCTGGCCACTCATTATGTGAGATTACCAAATCAACGGCACTGTTCACTCTTTAGATCATCGTTTTCGAAATTTGGACTCGACTAGATCCCATTTGTCGAACGGCTTATGACCAAAAAATTTTCTTGAAGAGATTATTCGAAAGAATAAGGTCAAAGACAGCCTAGAAGAATTGAAAGGTTGAGCTTCTGACGGTAAACAGTGCCATAGTGGCTTATTACGGCCGTTTTTCTTACCCAGTGATTATTTCCATAGATTCCTTCTGCAAAACTTGCCGATTTACAAAAGAAGTTGCTGTCATTGGACAATGTTACTGACAAGTCTGTTGATGCCACCATACGAGAGTTTGAGCCTGCCAACATCCCTGGCTTCACCTTAGAGGAACATCTTCCAGTAATCGAAAGAACGTTTGAGGCTACGTAAGCGTCTATATGTTAATTCAATTCTTTTTCACAATCTGCTGCTCTTGTGACTGGCAACAGTTTTAGTTCCCATAATTTAGGTAAGTAATTTCAATAATTTCAGATCAGTTGAGGGGATAGTTAGTAATCTCAAAAAAGAAAATACCGAATGGGCTGAAAAGCAGTTAAAAACGTTGTCAAAAATGAGTCCGACGTCAATGAAGGTCACATTTAAGCAGCTTAAAAATGGAGCCAATATGGACTTTAGCAAGGTTGGTGTTGCCTCATAAGTGTGCGCTCTTGAGATATGGTGCATTCACATAGTCGATAGCTCCCAGCTGACAGCTTAATCTCCTAAAAGCTGCTCAACGTTGCAGATGTTGGTTATTTTTAAGGTTTTCACAATGGAGTATCGCCTTACCCAGAGATCTGTCGAGGACCATGACTTTCACGAAGGTTGCAGAGCAAGTTAGTTTTTACTACTGACTTGTTGCTGAACCTCTTGTGAGAATGAAATCGGGCTGACAGCTTTAATAGCTCTGTTTGATTTTATAAACTGGATTTTACAGTTTGTTAGGTAATCGTTAAAAGTATCTTACAAAAAATGAACCATACCTTTGTCATTTTTGAAGTGTGTTTTAATGACTTTTTCCACATTACAGTTTTAATCGACAAAGACAGAAATCCGAAATGGAAGCCTGCAACTCTAGAAGAAGTGTCGGACGCCCATATAGAACACTACTTCGCCCCTCTAGACGGCAAAGAAGATCTATTTCTCGGCGATTCGAATGCTAAGATATAGAAGGAGATAGCACGTAATCCACTAACGAGTCGCAACAGTTGCTCAAATTTTCAGGACCATACTTACCATTTAATACCATGGACTAGTTTTTCGTGGAATAACCTCTAGATAGCCTAGTATCTTACTAGTATTTGCATAACTCAGTTTACATAATTCTTGTCAGAGTCCCGGAAAGATCTGAGAAAATTCATCCCCTACAACTCATGCTTCAATACAAGGCAACAGTAAACTGAAAAGAAGGAACGGTCATCAGCATCAGTAGGTGTTCTGGTGTGTATTCATTGGCTCAAGGCTTATTGACTTCTTGGCTTTTGCTTTATTTTGCACTTGGTTAGATCGAGGTACCAGAAGGTGTGATAACCGGGCATGGTCATGACGACGGCTAAGCTGAGATGAGTGTGTAGGACTTTCACAGTCTCGTCACCCTTACGCGTTCTGGAGGCCATTGTTGGTGACAATGATAAAATGCCCCGGCATCCACCACGCGAACATTAGTGCAAGACGGATTATAAGGATACCGGTTCCTATAGTTGTTTACAGAATGCTGCTGTTTTGGCAGAACTATTCGCAGGATGATTATCGTAATGGATGCACGAGTACAATTTATAGTTTTTTCTTGATAGCTTCGTTTTCAAATGGGCTCTGGTTTCTGGTCTAATGATAGTCACTACGGTTTTCGTTTTTCTGTGCGCATTGAATCCATTCGTAGTTATCCTCATTGACAATGAAATTCATCGGATTTTTTTGTCCCCTAATGATCCAGATACGCTTCAATTCCGAGAAATACCTTATGATTTTCGGTACATCTAGATTACTTCGAAGACGTCGTCCCAACAATCCCTTCTTAACTTTGAGCAGNTATTTAATCAACAAATACGTTCCATTCTTTTTCTTACCCATTCGTTCCGCAATTTTCCTCTCTACGTCCACCCTAAATCAGTGAAAGGAAGGAAAGAATTTTCTCAGACCTCTCCGGGCACCTTGATATTAATGACTATCTACCTTGCAAGTTTCTGATTGATCTGTGATCAAGTGGTTTGGAAATTAGGATCAAGTTTTATGTTGTTATGTACGCTTGAGATAAATTGTTTTAACATATGTAAATAAATAAGTAAACACTTTTGGGATGTTTCTAAGGCTTGCTTTTCGACGTGCCTCTTCAACCCAACAAAGATATTCACACCGGGATCGAAATGCCTTTTTAGGGGTAGCCAATAAATAGTGTAGGGAGAAAATGTTACTATAATGGATAAAGGACAAAGTCTTCTGACTTTAATCAATCCCGTCTGAGGGATGCGCCCCGCATCCGACTTCCATTCAAAGTCGTAGTGGCGTATTGAATGCGTATACTCTATACAATGACTTGAGGTGGCTAGCCGATGTACAAGTCAGTGCTTCCATATTCCCGGACAAGTCTGGTACCAACTAAACGACCCTGGAGGGATAGAAGGCTTGATTGGCGTAGAAACACATACGATACTATATGGCCCGGATACCGAATTCAAACCCATGACCATGCGTGTAGGAAGTGCGCCTCTTGCCGCTACACCACCTCCAGAAACAAATAACGGGAGAAAACATTTTAAAGTAAGATCAAATAGCAACAAATTTGGGATATGCTTTAGAAAAGCGGAGCAACCTTTTCCGTTGACAACAAAGCATAAAATCTGCATTGAGCTAAGATTATTTTCTTGCCGGAGAAACAGGAACACAAATCGAAGGGAGTTTCGGATAGCGAGGTTGATCAGAGAACCATTTGGAGCTGGTTTTTTTCCTGGCCAGTACAACTTTTTTTTCTTATTACAGCGCCAGTTCATGAGAAACCTGACAGAAACAAAAATAGCGCAGTGGGGTCACTGAAAAGGGGAGAACACATTGAGAAACTGATTCTGACGTAAATAAGATTGAAGATGAAAGAGAAAGGAGTTGAGGTGACTCACCAAGTAACATCACTGTGGAGGTCGTTGATCCATATCGATAAGCGATCTTCAATCGGTCAATTGCCAGCTGCACAATTGCCGTATGGAACCCCACTGGGGCACAGCTGTGATCCATGATTTTTGCCTTTCGCAACCGATCTTACTCGCTACTGGTTTCACTTGTTTTTTATGTATTGTAGCTCTTAATTCATATTATCAAACTTCATGAGCTCTTACATAGTTTGTCTTGAAACTTTGATGTCGATTTTTCGTACCTAATCACCGTTCAGTTCTCTTTGTACTAATCACATTCTGGGCAGGTTGGCACCATCATATGTTGTCCTTCAAAATAATGATCATATATTTTTTTGGAATTTATTTTTTTTCTAAATTCAGCTTCACTCTATGCCGGAAACTGTAAATGATGGGTTGAGTAAAAAGCCTTTTNCACGGATCGATTCCGTTTTGAAGTGGGCGATTTCGACCCACGATCGCAGAGGCCTTTGGTGCCTACATATTTGACCAATACAATGATTTCCTGGTTTGAAGGATGTCGAAGTTCGATCCATCTAGAGTCAATTGACCACGGCACAGCACTGAAAGCCTTGGTTGCAACAAAAAGTAGCCGATATTTGATCATGGGATCAAAAATGTGGTTGCGATACCATGTGGCGCCACCCCATGTCCGTTTCAAGAGTAACAAGTTGTTTTATACTAAAAACATATCATTCTTCTGCAAACTGAGATTATCTCAGCTAAACGGCCTAACCATTCACCATGGACCCTTTTTTCCCAAAGTTTGTCGTCTATTCCGCTACCATTTTTGTCTAAAAAAGCCTTTAAGCATATACATAGATGGGAAGCATGTACATAGGCGGTTTACGGATGGGAGTGGATCTGTCCACAAGCCAAGGTTTTGGCCTTCAGGCAACCATTTACGATCAAACCATGGATCGGTGCCAGGCAAACAAGGCTTTCTATACTGCTAATGAATTGTTGCCATCTTCTTCTGAGAGGTATAAACAAGCACTTGAAAATCGCCTGATCTTCTCAGGTCACTGCATAGGCCTCATATGCATTCTAGCAGCCCTATGAATCTGAATGGAAGTAATCTGAATCTGAATCTTCATTGGTTACATGGAAACCTCTCTCATCTCATAAGTGCATGAGACAAATGAGAGGCATCGGTACCACCTGCATAGTTTCTGTATCAGCACTTCACTCATTGTTGCGATGTTACCTAACTAGTAGCGGAACTGTTAGGGCAGAAATGACCCTGCCTTGAACAGTAAGTACTCACCGAACAAAGTTGTGTAGAAAAATTGAGTTCATTTTTGAATATAATCTTACGGTGAAGAATAGGGAAAGAGAAAGGAATACCTTTGTTGTTTTTATACAAGCCTCACTGGAAAGTCCATTTATGAGAAATTGGAAAATTCTCTCTGGAAATGTTCAATAGAGAGATTTCAGCTCATTCTTTTGACTTTTTCTAAGATAACCCAGTTCAAGCGAGAATTTCGCATTGTGGTGAAATAAGGTCTCAACGGCTGCTTGGGTTTTTCATCGAATGATTCAAGATAACCGCAATCGTCAGCATTATTTGCGGATTAAATCAGGGTCGGTTTCGTCCGTCGAAGCTTTATCATTTCTTCTTTTTAAAAAAGCAGGACCACCTTAGTACGTTCGATACTAGGCCGTATAGGAGTCGCTGGCCACCTTTTCTGGCATACTAAGAATTATTTGCTTCTTTACTCCTCTCGTGTTTGCTAGAGGTTTCTTACGATTACGTCTATAGAGTCACTGAGAGAGGAAAGACGTCGGTTGTAAATTGTCCCGTTATCCGGAAAAATACCATTTGGTAAGGTCATTAGTCATTATTCAACCTTTCGATCCCTAACTACGACATCCCCAATCACTCCTTTTCCTCATTCGGCCACCATTTAAACAAGTTATGAAGGTGCAACGGGTCTGGTCTATGAACTGGCTGCTTGTAGATGGGCATATGTCCGGTTTTCCTTTTCACGAAGTTTACCCGAAGTGACCAGTCATGTACCTGAAGAGCCAACCGGCATCCCACAGATCAGCCTCATGGGCTTCTCTAGGAAGGGCTTAGATGCACAAAAAGAAACTGGTGGAATAAAGAAGTAACGCAGTTCCGGTCTCAAATGAAGTCGGAGCCCTATTTGGTAAATTCACTTAGCAAACTTGATTTTATGGCCTCATGGCTCAACGGACTGGTGAAATAAGGAAGAAGGCATTTGACTCCGCATTAATCGAGTCGTTTGATCGCAGAACTACTTGCCTAAGAGTACATTCTATCCTTCAAGCTTTATGGTACCTCCTGAGCGATAGTGGATGAATGAAGGGCTTGCCTCTCACAATCAGTGTGATCTGACCTGTAAAGCGCTACAGTAACGGTGACCGATAACTGTGGTCACTGCGTTTCTCCGTTGCTAACCAGACAAGAAAGGATTTTTTCAAAGTGGACCGTTTCCTTGTACCTTGCCTGATTTCTTTTCTTATCGAAATTGCAATTTTCAAGTTTCTAGCATGCCCCTAGTTAGAGGTTAATCATATGGTATGCTCTAAGTCAAAGTTTGGAAAGCTAAATGACTAAAAGGCGCTTTGTTGATAGCAGCATACCTTTACAACCTTATAGCTATGGTTTTTCCAGTACTCGAGGCGAAGTGTTCCATTATGTTACTCATTACGACCTTACAAGT